TCTGCTGGGTGTGAAAGAATAAGAAAAAAATAAAAGCATTGCTATGGAGCGAGAACAATAAAATAAGAGTTATCAAGAAGCCAGTAGATAACAACGGATATTTAGAGTCTGTCTATATTTCTGAGATGAGGTATTATGTACACTATTTATATTATTCGGACTATTGTCCTCATCTTTGTCGCCATATGTATCACAACGTTTCGGCCGTTGTACGCTCCGGCCTTCTTCAGATGGTTGGAATTTCGAACCGTTCTAGTTCCACGTGCCATGTTTGATGGATGTCAGTTATCAGTTATCTCCTGCTAATTTCCCTCTGAAATTTCTCCACTGACTTAACCGGGTATTGAACTCACACTCTTTGGGTCCTGTCACTGGATCTAACCAACGCTTTTATCCACTGTGCCATGTGCACATATGCTAGGCCACAAAAATCTCCTGAGTCGACCAAGCATAGAAATAAATACAATATGGGAACCAGTAATAAGGAGTGCCAGAAAAAAGCAATGGTAACAACAAAGTTGCAATATGAGCACTGGTAAAAATGGTTGCTGAAGACATTAGGTTTATTATACCCAGAAATTCATAACCAGATGTCCTCAAGGACACATGACACATGGCACGTGAAACTAGAATAGTCTAACCCAGTGAGCGAAATAAAGGGTTCGAACGAAATTCCAACCACCTAAAGAAGGCCGGAGCGTACAACGGCCGGAACTTTGTGATACATATGGCGACAAAGATGAGGACAATAGTCCGAATAATGTAAATAATGTACATAATACCTCATCTCAGAAATCTAGACAGATTCATCGCTTTAATCAGACATTATGCAATGGTCATGTTAATGTTCAATTTTCTCCGCTATATCTTTTAAGCTTGGGTTAGATATGGCGACAAAGATGAGGACAATAGTCCGAATAATGTAAATAGTGAACTGATATTTATTTTAAATTTTTGAAAATTCCTGTTGACTAGAAAGCAAGAAACTAGAAGAGAGTTTCACAAGCGAAATTCGAAACTGTTAGTATCGAACTTATGGTTGCATTTTATCAATTTAACAATAAAGTGATTAAACGATATTGCCAATTTAGTACTACGCTTAAATTCATGCAGTCATGTTTACCAAGGAACAGGGATCAATAGAACAATTGTCATGAATGTATCTATAGAAAAGGCACAAGGAACCCACATTACGGCGGTGGCAAAGTGACTGAAGCTGAGATTCCAGATCAGAATTCCTCTTTGGATTTTATCAAGAATCTCTAAATATACAGCAGAAGTACCGGATCATATATGGCAGCAGTATTCAAACCATGGACAAATGATTGACTTATAAATATGTAGGATAGATGCAGGAGAGACAAATTGTCATTTTTAGCAACAGACCGAGCAATTGATTCAGTATAATGCTAGCAGAGAACGTTAGCCCGAAAAGGCATAACGAGTCATTCTGGTGGACGTTAGCATCAGCCATATGCAGATGGAAGGCAGAAAATGGTCTCTCAGATGATACATGTGGTGTTTAGCGGTCTTTGACTGCGCACGCCTTCTGTCGAACTCTCTGCGTTAGCAGAGAGAAACCCGGACGAGGCTTTGCCGAAGGGCAAGGTTTCGTCCGGGGAGGTAGACAGGGCCTGAACCCGTTTAATCGGCTTCAAAAGGCTATTTTTTTGGCCGAGCCTACGGGCTCGGGGAAACCCACAATAAAACCGGCCTTGTGCCATATTCGTTTCCCGTGGGTGAAATGATAAATACTCAGTGGCGTCTCGCGGTCTTTGACTGCGCACGCCTTCTGTCGAACTCTCTGCGTTAGCAGAGAGGAACCCGGACGAGGCTTTGCCGAAGGGCAAGGTTTCGTCCGGGGAGGTAGACAGGGCCTGAACCCGTCTAATCGGCTTCAAAGGCTATTTTTTGGCCGAGCCTACGGGCTCGGGGATACTCACAATAAAACCGGCCTTGTGCCATATTCGTTTCCCGTGGGTGAAATGATAAATACCCAGATGATACATAGATAGAAGTTTCGTTTTGGATGCGTTAAAATTAACAAGCCATCCCTTGCCCCAGTTAACAGGAGATTTTTCGCGACTAGCTCTCATTTTGACATTATCGAATCTATTAACCCTAATTCTAAGACAAGAATAAATATTTGTGCCATCAGCATAGACACCGAGTTTAGAACTGATGTCACTGAAGAAAATTTGGAAAAACTTATGTTTAAGAATAGAGGCCGGGTCATACTTGCATTAACGCAAAAATGATGTCATTTCTAAGGGGAGTATTCATACAGATTAGAAACGCAAGACCGGCATTGTGGACAGTCAATTGTTTTCCACAATACAATTCTATATCACAGACGAATTTTCGCCGCTTTCTCTATCCTTTCTATGTAAACTGGAAATCATAATCCCCATGTGTGTGTGTGTGTGTGTGTGTGTTAACTATATCATAGTTAGGCAGCATTTAAATATGTTTGATTCTAGGCTTAGACTCAGGGGTAACAAGGCGAGCTGTAACTAAGTAGTACGAAATAAGGTGATTTTAGAAGAATAAGGCTGAAAGTATGGGTTCCCAATGAGGATCGAACTCACTACATAGACATAATTTTTCTAAGTTTCCCAGCCATTACACCACGTCGAGATGCCCAAGCAATGCTAAATAAGATCTAGACTAGATATCCCTAGACATGAACGATGGAACGATAACACTCTACTTCTGTAGATTAAATAAGGGGATAGATTCGAAATATCTGAGTGTTACCCAGATCGACAGCCATATTGTACGACAGTCGAAACGCTGCTGTATTTCCAACAAAGATGAGAACAATAGCCCGTTTTCAAACAATGTAAAAACAAATGATAACTTCCTAGAAAGTTGGACAGATATTAGGCACTGTAATTAAAAAAAAAAAAAAACTAAAATAAAAACATACCAGAATTTTTAAAAAAATCACAATATTCCTTTTGAACAACTTAATAAAATATTATGGTCGTCACAAGAAATTGTTTCGCAATACATTTGTTAGGCATTTGTAATCAGCCTGACTCGATGACTGATACAACACCTGAAAGAGTTGAGATTACTTTCAGGAGAAAAATTGATGTTGTTTTTTTTATTATCATTTATTTATTTATTTATTTATTTATTTTGTAATAAGTGAGATGTTTAAATGTAAAGACGGGTGGGGGAGATAAAGGAATACGTTAAATAGAATTAAGATAAAGATAGCGATTTTCAGTTGAAAAATAATCGGTGGCGCCAATGGGAAATTATGCGCTTGTATTAGGTTCAAATCGTTTTAGCGATGAGAAGAGCGGAAATATCACGATCATGTATTTTAAATCAGTTTTAGTTTTTTAGTTGTCATTTTCCCAGGCCCTATGTCTTGTTTCACATTCACAAGAGGAAAATAAAAACATTACGAAAACCTTGAACAAATCGACATAATAAGCAGTATTGCAAGCAAATAATCTGTAATCTCCAAGAAAGATTAAAAACAGGCGCACAAATGATTTCTACTGTAGTGAATTCCAACTTTACTGGATTACCTACAATTTTGACCGTGTGCCAGAGTAAGCCAAATTAACAATTAAACAAGTAACATTAAAAAAAAAAGATAGATACCAGATGTACGGATTTAATTCAACCAATAAACGCAGCGTATTGCTGAAGTAATGATCGAGGCAAATATTTATACCCACATTCAAACTTCTGTTTTCTTGAGACGCAAACGTAATGCTTTGCCAGATAGTAGAATGTGTTGTAAGTGTTCATATTATAATATTCGCGAAAATGATTTTTAAGCATTTCACCCCAAGCAAGGCGGGGGTGCTAATAGCACGCAATGGGGTTATAGAGAGTGGGAGCAAGAATAAAGAGACATGAATGAGGAAAGGATAAAGAGAAGGGCGGGGAATTAGATCAAAACATCAGATGTCGATCGACATTACGTTTGAATACTATAAGACTATAACTGTCAGAGAAGCAAGAAAGAGGAGTTCCACATAGAGGAAGTGCGGGATATGAAGCTGTTGGAGTAGAAGTGACGGCTACATTTAACCGTTTCGACACTGAAAAGGTGGGACTGAGATGCCAACCTAGTAGCACGCTTAAATTCAAGCAGTTCGGGGAAATAGCGCGTCTGAGCAGTTACCGTGAAAGTATTTTATAGAAAAAAAAACAGAGGGAAGCGACGGCACGTCTGTGAGAAAATGACTGTAGACGAGATATCAGACCAACATGGCATATCCGTCTATGGATTTTGTCGAGGACCTTGAGACGAACAACGAGGGCATAAGACCATATATGACAGCAGTATATTCCATGCATGGGCTAATGGCTGATTTACAAATTTGAAGGATGGACTCAGACGAGAAAAACTTTCTGGCAGACACAGAGAACCAACTATGAACGGAATATGTAAAAGTATGACAGGAAAGGGACTGGCAGAGATAGTAATTGGACAAAATTTGCTTCGAACAACAAAGGGTGGGAAGTAGTGGAGAGTTATGATTGCCTACGTTCTGAAGAACTGAATGATACGTGCACGCTGCCTTGTGTTAAAGCTAACTGCAATTAATATTTATTTTATTGTTAAAACAGTAGAAACAAATTATGCTCCAATATGAAGTCTGGTGAAAAAATTGACTCTGTTGCCTTCTTATAATATTTAATAGGCTTATGGAATGTTTACGTTTCATTCAATATCCATAAGTATATTTATTAGCTAAACAAAAGCAATCAGCACCATCATCACTACCAATATGAACAACAATTTCCTTCTCTTTCACTTTTACTTCCTAAACGTCATCTGCTTTCCCGCCATTCCTTATCATTATCAAGGTCTTCCATTAAGAAGCCGACAGACATAGATAATTCGTCTCTGTTTAGAGGAACGCTCCAATAAAGACGACAGCTTAAGTAAATGATGTAAGTACGAAAAATAGAAGAAAATTAAGAAATGCCAATAAAGAATGTGAAGAACGATGTTAGCCGGAGTAGAA